GCAGCATTATTCACAATAGTTAAAGGTGTAAACAACACAACTGTCTGACAATGGATAAACAAAATGTAGTAAACACATAAATGGAATATTAATCAGACTTAAAAAAGGAAGGAAATTCTGATACATGCTACATGAATGAACCTTGAGGATACTATGGTAAATGAAATAAGCCAGTCACAAAAAGACAAATACTGTAGGATTTCACTTGTATGAGGTATCTGCAGTAGTCAAATTTATAGGGACAGAAAATAGAAGGGTGGTTGTCAGGGGCTGGGGGGAGGGGGAAGTAGAGAGCTGTTGTTTAATAAATATAGAGTTTTAGTTCTGCAAGATATAAAAGTTTCTGGAGATTAGTTATACAACAATGTGAATACACTTAACACTACTGAACTGTACACTTAAAAATGGCTAAGATAGTAAATTTTGTTATGTCTATTTTATCACATTTAAAAATAGATTAAAAAAAGAAAAATATACTGGATGGAATTAATAGAACATTAGGAATTGAGAAAAAAATTAATAATCTTGAAGGCATACTAACAGAATCTATCCAAAATGAAATACGTGGAGAAAAAATAATTAAGAAAACAAAAAACAACAACGAAAAGAACATCAGCAAGCAGAGGGCAACTATAAGTGTCCAGGTGAGAAGACTAAATGTCTCCATTCTTCCCAAATTAATTTTCATGGTTAATCTCATTTAATTTTTAAGAAGCTTTTCTTTTAATGAAATAATTCCAGAGTTCATCACAAAAAATTAAAAAGTGGGACTTGTCAAGAAAATTTTTTAAAGGAAATACAATGGGGAGGTGAATAGCTATTTCTGCCAGGTATTTAAATATACTCTAAAAGGTATGTTTACAACAGATTACAGATTACAACGGTGAGGTGCTAACACAAGAACTGCTAAGCCAGTGGACTAAAATAGATGGCACCAAGACAGATCATAGCGCTAATAAGAACTCAGAACATAAAGCGGTACTAACAATCAGTGAAAAAGGAAATATTTAATAATAATAATAATGAAATTATTATTCAATAATAATTACTCAAAACTCAGTCTGGGCTGTCTTGGTAATATTTGAAATAAAGCATCATTTTAGTTCAGAGGTTCTTAAACTTTGGCTCATTAAGAATTATACTCCAGGGCTTCCCTGCTGGCACAGTGGTTGAGAGTCCGCCTGCCAATGCAGGGGACAAGCGTTTGTGTCCCGGTCCGGGAAGATCCCACATGACGTGGAGTGGCTGTGCCTGTGAGCCATGGCCACTGAGCCTGCGCGTCCAGAGCCTGTGCTCCGCAATGGGAGAGGCCACAACAGTGAGAGGCCCGCGTACCGCAAAAAAAAAAAAAAAGAATTATACTTCATTGGGCTTCACGGTATTTGTGAAAATGGGGTGAAAAGTGACTTATCTTCCCTTCAAAATTCCTCTTGAAACTAAACCATAGGTGGGGAAAGTCTTTATAGTTTCATACTAAGTTTTTAAGATATTTCACATCATCAGGTAATATTCGATTGTCACCACTGTCATTTTTTAAAATTAATTAATTAATTTTTGGCTGTGTTGGGTCTTCGTTGCTGTACCCGGGCTTTCTCTAGTTGCGGCAAGCGGGGGCTACTCTTCGTTGCAGTGCGTTGGCTTCTCATTGTGGTGGCTTCACTTTTTGTGGAGCATGGGCTCTAGGCACGCGACCTTCAGTAGTTGTGGCACACAAGCTCAGCAGTTGTGACTCGCGGGCTCTAGAGCACAGGCTCAGTAGTTGTGGTGCATGGGTTTAGTTGCTCCGCGGCATGTGGGATCTTCCCGGACCAGGGCTCGAACCCGTGTGCCCTGCATTGGCAGGCGGATTCTTAACCACTGGGCCACCAGGGAAGTCCCCACTGTGATGTTATAACATCTAGAAGAGTTTCCCATTGATTAGAAAGGAAAAACATTCCTACCTTTATGATTAGCGGTTCTGCTATGGTTATATAAATTTAATGAAATATAAAGTAAGTTTAAAAATCCTTCGAAGTGTCTTGAAACACCCTATAGGCTGCTTATCAAGTTGAAAAGCAGAGAAACCATACAGAATCAGAAAGAACTTGGAGAAGCCATGTTCCCTAGAATTGACAAACATGTTCTGTGGCTTCGAACAGATGAAAAACTGAAGCTGTCAAGGAACTCAGATTGCAAGGAATGTCACCCACTCCAGAATGGCTATTTCTTCTAAAATTTAATATTTTGGAGCAGACCTAAGAGGAATTGGTAACTATGCAACTAGTGAAACAGATGCTCTCAGCATAGCCGACTCTGTTACTGCCATTACTGGCATTCCTATTTCATGAGACCTTTTTGAAATGTTCAGAAACTACCATCATCTTGAAAATGGTATTTCCAAGTAAATATCTTACTGAAAAAAAGGTCGAGAACTCTGGGCATAGACTGAGAATCTCTGACATTTGGCTGTCCATTTGTTTTTACTGCTTTGGAAGAGAAGCTCCTGACGTCAATGTGACTGGTTGCTTTCTGCATCGGCCGGCATGGGTGCCAAATGCTCTGCCACTGGTACTGAATGAACGCTTGCCTTGTGAGAAGCATCAACTTCATCGGGACAGTGGGGGCTGAATCACTGTTTTCAGGATCTTTTATCAGGAAAATGGAGCAGAATGAGAGCAGTTCTTCACTTACTAAACAGAAATGTGCTGAATTTCCAGAGGAAAGTGTTGAAATGCTTGATGAGACATTGGGCAGAAATTTTACTTTTTTCAAATAGAAAAGGAAAGCTACTCTCTCATGGTTTCACGTACTTGGACAATAGTTTTGGTTGTAATATTCTAGTTACAGCCCTGCGGTCAACATTATGTCTGCTGCTGAAGGATGCAGAGCTCCTGTTCTATTCAAGATGGGTCACTAGGAGTTCAGCATGCCTCTGACACCGAGGAAAGACCTTCTGCAATCTGGAATTAAGGGTGGCAAAACTTCTTCCAATTCCTCAGCAGGCAGAAGCAAGTATGTGCCAAACTCCTAAACGTTACTTCTGACAAAGATAATTTTAAGATTGAAGTGTGGGTTTATAGTCCAAAATTGGTGATAGGGATGAACATCAATGACTTGCACTTTGCCAAAGATCAGAACCTCAGTGAATCTGGGAGCAGAGGAAATTATTCAAAATAAATTCAACTGTTTCTCAACTCAAGCCTACCCTCATTTGGCCAAGTATGCCACGATAGCTCCATTTGCTCACATGTGCTTTTATAAGCCACAATAAGCCAAGTGTGCTTCTTTTTTTTTGCCCCCAAAACGAAACAAAACAAAAAACTCAAAACTGATTGGATGGCAAGCCTGACACATATGTTATCATATCAAAACACTCAAAACTTTCTCCTGCATCTGTAAGTCAAACTTCAACAGCCTTCATGGTGGAAGTTGGCGATAAGCTGAAGTTCAAGTTTTGCTTTGCTTGGAAATTTTTATTTCCTTTTTATCATAAAGTAGGTATTAATTTTTGCATTAAAAATGAGTGAGAGGCAGAGGGTTTCAAAGAATGTCATATTTTTCTATGTGTACATAGAAAAGAATGTGTAATCAATATCTAACATCATAAAAATAAATTCTATCTAAATTATTGTACATATGCTTAGGTACTTTTTTTGGTAACCTCAAAGCTTTCAGAGTCTCAAGGAGCTCTGTGATTCAAAAATCTGAGAAAAACCCCATTCCTCTGATATAGATATTGACCTCACGTAACAAAATATCATTTCACAACAGTTCAAGAATTACATGGAAGAAAATCAAACCACAACACTTAGAAGAAAATATAAATGTTTAGCAGATTTCAAGCTGAGAAAAAAGCTTTCTGAACAAAAAAGCAAGAGAAAAATAATAAATAAATAAAAATGGCCATTCTCTAGTTCAATTATTTAATTTCACTTATATCTAAGGGGAAAATCCAAACTGTAAACAGAGGAGGTCATTTTCCCCTGGTCACTAGGGGACCAGTCAATCAGCCACTACCCCTTGCTGTAACACCCAACAGAGGTTTAAAACTATTACACTAGACATTGTCACTCCATCAGTAGAAACAATACCTCCAGTATATGTACATTTATATTTGTTTATCAATTGGATATATGTACTAATCTACTAATATATTATATACCTTATAAAATATATACTTAAAAAAAGATGAGATAAAATTAACTACAAATACAAGTTCTAAAGTTTTCTTCCTGCACCCTTGCAGGTGTGTACACCTCCCCATTTTGGGGGCCATTGTTCGGCATGGCAGTGGCTAAACAGGAGGGCCCTGCCACCATTTCCAAACCTGAGTCTGCATTCTGCTCCCCAGATTGTGTACCTCCTTCCCATCTGCCAGCTCTCGGTACCACAACACACTGTTTTACTGCCTTCCTAGTGCAGATCATTATGGGACGTCATCTACTTATTTATGGGTTTACTTGTTTATTCCTACCCCCCTGCCCCCCGACTCCCCAGCTAGAATATAAGCTCCGTGAGAGCCAGGATGGTGCCTGTCTTGTTCATTCCTAGTTCCTCCACACCTAGAACAGAGCTTGGTATACAGTAGGTGCTCCTTAGGTACTTATTGTGTAATAAGGGTATACAGCTGCTCCCCCACTCAAATTCCAGCTGTTTCCCCTGCTTGGTCCTCCATTCTCCTAGCAGGCAACAGGGCAGGTCCCCTGACCCTCTGCAGGAAGCAAACAATACCCTATCCTACTTCTTAGCACAGCTTCCACTTTAAAGACCTCTCATGGAGGGTGAGCCACAGAGGACTATCTTGCTCCTCATAGAAAACACAGGCCCCCAATCTCAAATCCAGAACTTAAAAATATATACATATATAATTACAGTATTTCTAAACGCAGTTCTTCTTCTTTTGCAATCATCTATTTGCAAGCTGAACTATCATATTCATGCAAAAGCGATCCTTCTCAATCAAGTCAAGCTGTTCTTACAGCTTCTGTCCTGGGAGGGAAAAGAGACAGGTGGGCAGGTACCTGATGGTTTTCCACACATCGAAGCCATCCAGAGGCTTGGTGCCCTCTGTGCTGCCCCCCGCCAGCTTCACCAGGGTCGGCAGCCAGTCGGAAATGTGGATGAGCTCCCGGTTCTTCACGCCCCTCCGTTTCAGCAAGGGGCCGGCCACAAAGCCCACCCCTCGCACGCCTCCTTCCCACAGGCTCCACTTTCTTCCTCGAAGGGGCCAGTTATTGCCCCCTGCCAATGTCTGCCCACCGTTATCTGAAACACAATTAGGTCATAGCATGAGGACAAGGCTAACTATTAGATACATTTAAGAACAGAAGACTTGGATGCATGTTATTATTAAATGGTGCTTAGGAACTAAGAAAGAAGATTCCTCTTTCCCCTCTCCCATAGCAGCTACCCTCCTCCCACCCAACACAACCCTCCATCCCACAGACATAACCAGGGCTCAGCACGGCACATGTCTGACACTAGACCTTTAAATCCTCCATGGAGAGGGCCACTGAAAAACAAGGGAGGCCCCTGAGGGGAACTGCTTGGGATAGAGCCCTGTGCTGAGCAATGACTAGGATTCAAATGCATGCATGCAACTTTGGGTAACACAGGAGAGTGAACCCAGGTAGGTGGAGCCCCTCCCCGTACATGAAAAGACACCTCTGAATAAGTTTCACTTAGGAACCTAAGGCTCCTGATTAGTGGGGATAGCGAACCTTTTTATTTTCTTCCTGGAAAATTTTTCTAACATTTAAACTGGTAACAGAATTAACATTTGACTCCCTGGTGATCTGAACTCTTAAGAGTGAAAGTTGCAAGACTTCCCCAGTGGGTTAAATGTCTCTGTACACAGAACAGTTGGATGGAAAAAATAATTGCAAGAAAAATTCCTCCCTTCTTGACAGGATGGCAGGACAAAGCTTCATTGTATACTGTATGGCAGGGAAGAGAAGGTTTCTCTCCCAAGGCAGCCAAGGGAATGGAGGACACTGGGGAAGCCAGAGAAGATACAAAAGTGACTTCAGTATCTTACCAGCTGGGTGGGGCTCAGAGTTAGAAATTAAGTTGGACTGTAGAAAGTAAAAAGTCATATTTCTTACATACTGAGGTTGTAGAATCATATTATCTCCAAAAGTACTCATACACTTAGGTGACTTTAGAGATATGTTTTAAATATCACTTATTTGCATGTGCATTACACTCCGATTAAATGTTTTCTAAAAGCCACTGTTATCCAAATGAACCACAGGAGGGCAGTATGACAGATGTGCTCTATAGAACATTATGTATAAAGAAATCTAACACAGAAATCAAGCTCTATCAAAGCCAAAGGATGCTCATGGAAGGAAAAAGAACCAGTATTTGTTAAGCACCCACTCTGTACCAGGCACCCTTTTAATTTCACATTATCACAGACTCTGGAGTCCAAGAGACCTGGAATTGAAGCATGATGCCAGCCACTCACTAGGTGTGTGACCCAGGGCAATACACTGCCTCAGTTTCTCATCTTTAATGTAGAGATAATAATTCCTACCTCATTCATGTATTATGGTGAGAATTAAGTGACATCATTTATAATAATGGTTTGGGGCTGGGGACCTGGCACAATCTAAGTTCTCAATAAATGGTAGCTAATGTTTATAACAATACAAATAGTCTAGTATTATAACTATTTTGTCATGAGAGACTTGAAAATGCCAAACAACTAATAAGTGGCAAAGCTAGGATTCAAACAATGTCTGTGTGACTCCCAGGCTCCTCCTGCCCCCAGAGTGCCCTGCTCCTGAGGTCCCTGGTATAGAGTGAGTTTTATATCTATATAAAACTTTACTTCTCTATGAAAAACATAAGCACGGTCAATCTCAGCTAAGTTTACACTCTTCCCATGATACAGCAGGAGAGCTATCTCAAGGTGATGACAGTTCCCTTACGAGGAGCCTCTGTTGCTGGTGGGTAAGAAATTCAAGGCTCTACTGTCAAGGAGGCTTCTGATCAAGCCCTTAACACACCAGGTCTTCAGTTCTGCTCTGTGCCTCATGAGGGGGAGAAGGAAGGGTCTTGAGCTACATTAGAGGAAGGTAACAGTTCTTCAACACAGGTGGGTGACAATCAATCTCATCATTTGCTATCAGACGAGAACCTTTTCTTAAACCTCACATCTCTTCTTGACAAAGCAAATGGTCACCCAAGCCAGTTTATTAAATACACATTCTATTTCACATGAGCAGACCTGCACGCTCAAAACAGGGGGCACCATCTTCAGACAAAGGGAATTCCTCACACTCCGCTATCAGTCACCAATAACCACTGTATCAAAACTTAAAGAAGGTGCTGTTCATGTGATACAGAAATACACTGGAAAGAAGTGTTTACACTCTACCTGTGAAGTTAAGAATGGCTAAGACAGCACTATCATTTCCCTGTGCTGTCTGGATTGCTATAAATGATACTGGCTCAGGGCTTGTAGAAGATGCCCGTTGTCTCCATTTTTGATAGATAACACTCCTTTGAAATATTAGATAATGTCTCTTTCAGTTCCACCTATTTGTTAGTGCTCAGTACAAAAATGGTGGATGATGAAGATGGTAGAAACAAGAGTGGAGGTGATGGGGAGAAGCGTGGAGTGGGTCTGGAATCTGATCTTAAGCCCTTGAGGTATGACTCAGGAAGGAAAATACTCTGGGCTGTAATGAGAATTTGGCCACGGCTGCTAGGTGGAAGGTGTTTCCACATCTTATTTGGGAGGTGCCGATGCAGTGCGTGTGACTGTTTTTGCATTAGCTTCTGTGATGTTTTTCCCATTAGCAATGATAAGCGATTCTATCGTCTGTTATCGATGTGGCTTCCTCCATCATTTTTTTGAGAGCACTCCAGGGAGAAAGCACTGTTAATTGACACACCTGCAACTCCTTCTCTTGGGCTCCCCAGTCACAAAGCCAACTGCAGAATCCACTGCATGAAGAGGACAATTCAGCTTTGCCAGAGACCTGGCCAGGCGGCACTGGCTGACGGTCTCTACTTACCAGCAAAAATCCACAGACTTAGGCCTTTGAGACATAGGGTGCTGTCCATTGGTTCTAGTGCATTTGCCCAGGTATTTCAAGGAGTTGGACATAAAACTGATCAGAGTAACAGCAAGAATAAAATCAGCTCATTTGAAACAAGGTAGAGAAGGGGGCTTCCAATGTCGTTCACTTAAGTCTGACATAAAGTTCAAAAAGACAATGGAGACCTAGAGTCTGTCATACAGAGTGAAATAAGTCAAAAAGAGAGAGACAAATACCGTATGCTAACACATATATATGGAATTTAAGAAAAAAATGTCATGAAGAACTTAGGGGTAAAACAGGAATAAAGACACAGACCTACTAGAGAATGGACTTGAGGATATTGGGAGGGGGAAGGGTAAGCTGTGACAAAGTGAGAGAGAGGCATGGACATATATACACTACCAAACGTAAGGTAGATATCTAGTGGGAATCAGCCGCATAGCACAGGGAGATCAGCTCCGTGCTTTGTGACCGCCTGGAGGGGTGGGATAGGGAGGGTGGGAGGGAGGGAGATGCAAGAGGGAAGAGATATGGGAACATATGCATATGTATAACTGATTCACTTTGTTATAAAACAGAAACTAACACACCATTGTAAAGCAATTATACTCCAATAAAGATGTTAAAAAAAAACAAAAACAAAAAAAGACAATGAAACCACCACCATTTCAAACACGTTTCTTTTCATTTTCTCTCCTAATTTTGTTTTGGGCAAAAGTTAATTTTTGTTCTTGTTAAGAATTAATTTTCAAGAGAAAATGTTCAAGTTGCATTTCCTGGCTGACTTATGAAAAAACTTCCAAATCAAAATAAGATGACTCGCCTTTCTGTCTGGCGGCAGCCATCAGGTGAGCCGAGATGCGCGCTTACAAGTACCTCCAGGAGCTATGGAGGAGGAAGCAGTCGGATGCGATGCACTTTTGCTCAGGGTGTGCTGCCGCAGTACCGCCAGCTCTCGGCGCTGCTCCGGGCACCCCGCCGCACCCGGCCCAACAAGGCGCGCAGGCTGGGCTACAAGGCCAAGCAAGGTTATGCCATATGTCGGATTCATGTCCGCCGCGGTGGCCAAAAATGCCCAGTTTCTAAGGGTATCACCTACAGCACGCCTGTCCACCATGGTGTCAACCAGCTCGTTTGCTCGAAGTCTTCAGTCTGTTGCCGAGGAGCGAGCTGGACGCCACTGTGGAGCCCTGAGGGTCCTGAATTCTTACTGTGTTGGTGGAGATTCTACGTACTAATTTTTTGAGGTTATCCTCATTGATCCATTCCATAAAGCTATCAGAAGACACCCTGACACCCAGTGGATCACCAAACCAGTCCACAAGCACAGGGAGATGCGGGGGCTGACGTCTGCAGGCAGGAAGAGCCGCGGCCTTGGCAAGGGCCACAAGTTCCACGACACGATCGGTGGTTCTCGCTGTGCAGCCTGGAGAAGGCGCAATACTCTCCAGCTCCACCGCTACCGCTGATGTAAGTAATGTTTGTAAAATTCTTACCTAATAAACAGTTTAGGACATCCATGTCTGCTTGAAAGTGTTTTTTAATGTCTGTTAAAACTAGTTGTGTGCAGATTGTTCATTGAATGCATTGTCAAATTCTGAAAGTTAAAGTGCAATAATATTTGAAGACTTTAAGTGATGGTATATCTTGTTTCTAATAAGGGAAATGCCTTTGTTTTTGCTTTATTAGGGAGTTGATATGTCCGTGTTTAAAATGCTGTTTGGGGGATTCCCTGGTGGTGCAGTGGTTAAGAATCCACCTGCCAATGCAGGGGACATGGGTTCGAGCCCTGGTCCAGGAAGATCCCATATGCCACGGAGCAACTAAGCCTGTGCACCACAACTACTGAGCCTGCGCTCTAGGCCTGCAAGCCACAACTACTGAGCCCGCATGCCACAACTACTGAGCCTGCATGCCTAGAGCCGGTGCTCTGTAACAAGAGAAGCCACTGCAATGAGAAGCCCACGCACTGCAATGAGGAGTAGCCCGCGCTCACTGAAACTAGAGAAAGCCCGCGTGCAGCAATGAGGACCCAATGCAGCCAAAAAGATAAAATAAATAAATTTAAAAAAAATGCCATTTGGTACAATAGGTGTAAAATTCTGTAAAAGAGGAGTGCAGAAAGGAGCCATGTAGATTTGTTGGTGCATGTGATGAAATCTACAGCTTTACTGGGGTGATGCAATGCTCTGCTGGTTTACTCTAAAGTGG